ATGGAATGATCAGAACATTGATAGATGTTCGATATGTACCGGATTTGAAGAAGAATCTCATCTCTGTGGGAGCCCTAGAATCAAAAGGGTTCAAAATCATTGCAGAAAATGGAGTGATGAGAGTATGCTCCGGTGCACTAGTGGTAATGAAGGCTAATCGGAAGAATAATAATATGTACCGCTATCGTGGCAGTACAGTTATTGGGACAGCGACAGTAACATCCAGTGACGACAAAGAGGCAGAAGCAACCAAGCTATGGCACATGCGCTTGGGACATGCTGGAGGAAAATCCTTGAAAACTCTATCAGATCAAGGATTGTTAAAAGGAGTAAAGGCTTGCAACTTGGAGTTTTGTGAGCATTGTGTTAAAGGGAAACAGACAAGGGTTAAATTTGGTACAGCGATCCATAATACTAAAGGCATTTTGGATTATGTACACTCTGATGTTTGGGGTCCTTCCAAAACACCTTCATTGGGTGGGAAGCACTATTTTGTAACCTTTGTTGATGATTTTTCCCGAAGAGTATGGGTGTATACAATGAAGAGCAAAGATGAAGTGTTGGGAATTTTTCTCAAATGGAAGACGATGGTGGAGAATCAGACAGGCAGGAGGATCAAGTGTATTCGCACAGACAATGGAGGTGAATACAAAAATGATCATTTCAATAAGGTCTGTGAAAATGATGGCATCGTCCGACACTTCACTGTTAGACATACACCACAACAGAATGGAGTGGCAGAACGTATGAACCGGACCTTGCTGGAGAAGGTACGGTGTATGTTGTCCAATGCTGGCTTGGGCAAAGAATTTTGGGCTGAGGCAATTACATATGCATGCCACCTCATTAATCGTCTACCATCTGCTGCTATTGATGGCAAAACACCATTTGAAAAATGGTACGGAAAACCTGCTGTAGATTATAACTCTTTGCACGTGTTTGGCTCAACTGCATATTATCATGTGACGGAGTCAAAATTGGATCCAAGGGCAAAGAAGGCTATTTTTATGGGAATTACTTCTGGAGTCAAAGGATATCGCTTATGGTGTCCTATGACAAAGAAAGTAATATTCAGCAGAGATGTTACCTTTGATGAATTTGCTATGGTAAATAAGGTAACAGAAGATACCAAACAAAATGAAGGTGCTTCTAAGCAGGTGGAGTTTGAGGGAAAATTTATTTTTCCTACACAAGAAGCAGAGGAGGAAACAAATGAAGATTACCCTCTGGAAGGAGAGCCAGTAGAGGAGATTCCAACTCAGGAATCTCAACAACAACTTGAATCAATAGCAACCAGCAGGCCAAAAAGAACAATAACGAAACCTGTTCGTCTCATAGAGACGGTTGCTTGTGCAACCTCAATTGTAGCTGATGATGTTCCTACTACTTATAAAGACGCTGTCCAAAGTTCAGAAGAAGATAAGTGGAGGATTGCCATGAATGATGAAATAAAGTCCCTTCATCAGAATCATACATGGAGATTGGCCAATCTCCTTAAGGGAAAGAAAGCAATTAGGTGCAAATGGGTATTTGCAAAGAAGGAAGGATTTCCTAACCAAGTAGATGTGCGCTACAAAGCAAGATTGGTGGCCAAAGGATATGCTCAAAAGGAGGGAATTGATTACAATGAAGTGTTTTCTCCAGTTGTAAAACATTCCTCCATTAGAATTATGTTGGCTTTGGTAGCACAATTGGATTTGGAACTAGTTCAGATGGATGTAAAAACTGCGTTTTTACATGGAAACTTGGAGGAGGAAATCTACATGACTCAGCCAGAAGGATTCAAAGTTGCTGGAAAAGAAAATATGGTGTGCAAACTTGAAAAATCGTTGTACGGATTGAAACAATCTTCTAGACAATGGTACAAGCGATTTGACGAGTTTATGTTGCGGCAAGGGTACAAGAGAAGCAAATACGATCATTGTGTGTATTTGCACAAGCTTAAAGATGGTTCCTTTGTATATCTTCTCCTATATGTTGATGATATGTTGATAGCTTCCAAGAATTCGGAAGAAATTGATAAGTTGAAGATTCAACTGAAGAAGGAGTTCGAGATGAAGGATTTGGGTGAGGCAAAGAAAATTCTTGGCATGGAGATAATTAGAGATAGACGTTCAAAGAAACTCTGTTTATCTCAAAAGGAATATTTGAAGAGAGTACTTCAACGTTTTGGCATAGATGACAAGACTAAGCCAGTTAGTACTCCACTTGCTTCCCATTTTAAGCTAAGTACTACTATGTCGCCAATGGATGAAGCTGAACGAGAGTATATGTCAAAGGTACCATACGCAAATGCTGTTGGTAGCTTGATGTATGCAATGGTTTGCACAAGGNGAAATCATAGAAGAAGGTGGAGTCACGGTGAAGAAAATTCATACTACAGAGAATCCTGCTGATATGCTGACAAAGGTGGTGACTGCGGTCAAGTTTCAACATTGTTTGGATTTGATCAACATTGTTGAACACTGAAGATTGAAGATGAAGACACAACCAAAATTTGTTATTGAGAGAGAATTGAAAATGTGGAATTTTGCCAAGGTGGAGATTTGTTAAGTTTGGCAGAAATGTTTGTCCCACATCGGTGAGAAATGAATAGTTGGGGGGATTTCCCCCCTATAAAAGAAGACCTAATGTTTAGGATTGAAATACACCTCTCATTTGCCTTCTCATCTGTTTAAGGCATTTGTATCTTCTCTCTTTAGTATTATTTCACTTGTATTTTTGGAGTGAAATAAAATATTGGTTGTGTCCGAGGAGTAGGCAAAATTAGCCGAACCTCGTAAATTCTGGTGTTCCCTTTATTATTGCTTTATTGTCTTATTTATTATTTGGTGGCTGTCATAATTTTTGGTATAGTAGTTGTGACTTATTCACACTATATACATTTGGCTTCCGCAACACACGAAACCTTTTTTCCCCCAATTTTATCTTCAAATTATATTATTTTTCAACTTTAAATTCAACTATTTTCAACTTTAAATTCAAATGTTGTGCAAACCGTTTTATTAAAAACTGAAGTTGTCAATACTTTCTTATTTATTTTAGTTGTTGTAGTTTATGATGGTGAAAATAAACCAAAATCTAGTGGTCGCAATGAGTTCCTCAGTTCGAGAGAGCTGTCAAGCCATGTGCCTCGTCTCCGCCAGCAAAATTCCCACATCACAATATATGCCACTTGGCCGCCAGCCAACACTAGATCTCCACAAACCACATATCTTTGCTTCCAAATTTATTTCCACACATTATCTGTTTCCCACATGACATCACATTCTTCTATTTGAGAAAAGCCTAAAGATGTACTATTCATTATCCACTTCTTTTACTTGTAGATAGAGAATGATGAAAGCCTAGTTGGCCACACCATTAACACGAGAAGACAAGTAATAGCTCGCAAGTTCAAAACATAATGCTAAATTGAATGCCGGGTACACAAGGCATTTTGTGTTCATGCAGGATCGGGGAAGGATCGCACCCCAAGGGGTGTGACGTTGACAGCTTACGATAATGCAGATTGCTTCCACACTATTCCAACATGTGACCTATATGTCACATGGAGACAACTTTACCTTGCTTCAAGGGTCTCCTTCACATTGCTAAACTGAATATGATTAAGTTATATATACTGATAATGTTAATACTATTAGTGATCCGATCGATGAATATGCTATTTTATTAATTACTTTAATTTTTGAAGTATCATATCATGTTTACTATAGAAAGTTGCATGTTATTGTAAATTTAAAAAATTTATATTGCCCACTGTTGGCCATACAAAACTTAATGAGATATGTTAAGATAACAGAACCACAAATGAAACGATGTTGCCAAGTATGTTGGTGTTAAAGTAGGCCAGGCATATGAGTTACCTAAGTGTCAAACCAAAGTCATCACATATTCACATGCATGAGTTTACATGCGCCATAGATGTTGTGCCAACTCTGCATTAATACTTTTGTGTCTATATATACACAAGCTGTTCCTTTGAGTTTGCATGAACCAAAAGCAAGCTTGAAATTATGGGTTACAGAAAAAGGCTAGGCGTAGAAAGGGTACTCATGAAATCAACAAAGAATACAAGGAGAATTAGGGGGAGGAGGAGATCAAGAATGGGCTGTGTTGATCTTCAACAGCAGCAAGACAAAGTGGTGAAGCTACAGAGGCTAATCCCAGGCGCCAGACAACTACCTTCTCATCAATTGCTTCTTGAAACTGCTAATTACATTATGCAATTAAAGCTGCAAATTCATTTCTTGCAATCTCTTTTAATTTTCTCTTCATCACCAGATAATCATCATGCTAGCTAAGCATCTTAAATTATAGCCTAATTTGCTTTCGAGGGTAATTATTTGTAGTTTTTTTCTTGTAAGAATCTCATTATGGTCATTTCATCAGAAAACACATACAGCTTTAGAACATATTTTGTGCTCAATTGAAATTAAAATGTACCTTCGTACTTTGACATGTTATAAAGTTTCCCCCCCTCAAAATGAATGTTTGAATTATTTAAAACTTCTCTGTTTCGTTATATTGATAATATAGCTTTCTTGCAAGTTTTCTTAGAATTTGGGATTCTCAACCCTACTCATGGATTGACAGTTATATTAGCTGTTATTGAATACTTCAAAATATTAACTAAATATCCTTATTTTACTCTCTATGTATTGGTATATAGTACTTGTTAAGTCTAATTTTTTCATGCAAGTGTCCTACAGATCGAGCTAACCTATAGCCAATTATTGCTATCTCTCCTGAGATTAGAATCCTATTGATTCAATTTCATGTTTCAAGAGTCTATAGAAGAACAACAAAAAGAGGAGAAAGAAAAAAAAAGGAAAAAAGAGAACACAGAAAGGAAAAACACAGGTAGAGATAGCAGAAATTTGTGACAGTGATACCATTCCTTTTGTGCAAATAATAAGAGGTCCCATCTAATAACTCAATCAATTCTTGTGCAGTAGTTACGAACCATGCAATAATCTCTCTGTTTATAATAGTAAAAGAACCTGTAAAGTAATTTATCTGTTTACAACATTGAATGAAAAGATATATTCATTGTGATTCCATATTAATTATCAGGCTAAGGTCTGTGAATCACAGAAACAGGCTACATTCATCATCCTGATATCACACTGCAGGGACTAAAGACTTTTAATTTAGTGCAGAAAAACCTCATTTCTTAATCGAAATTTACAAGAAAACACACATCTTTAAAGGTTATAAAAGCTTACAAAACATGAGTGCGAACATAAGAAGATTTTACAATAGCTAGGTAGCACTGCAAAAGATGTCAATAGGTTAACCAGGTTGGATCTTATGAATCTATCTCGGAGATAAAAAGAGAGGGAGCTGGCTTTGAGTCAAACCAACTAATTTATCCATGAGACTCTTAATGAAATGGCCTGCTGCATAGCCAACACCTGAGGCCATACTTGCAGCTATACCATAGAATAGGACAGTTTTGACGTATTTACTGAACTTGTTTGCTCCTCGCGTATAAGCCTTTGCAGTAGCAAGCATGATAATGCACATAGAAGAAGCGATGGCAACTGCTATAAGCTTGCATTCTTTGTTATCACTCTTAAGATATGTGAAGCCATATACTAATGGTGGAACAAGGCCAAATATAAAATATGATAGCAGGGCAACAATTGCATGAAGTAGGAAATGCTCTTTTGGGCCAAGTAGTTCTTGGTATCGATCGATTTGATCACTTAAATTGGAACCTACTCTGGTATATTTAATTTTCAAATCCATCAACTGCAAGCTTACATGTGATTCAAGAAAAGGATTAAGATGCAAGAACTGATGCAGAATACCAACTGTAGAGTTGAACTAGAATTATGGAATACTCACATTCTGACAAATGACAAAAAGTCCACCGATCAAATTTGCCACTCCAATAATTAGGATCTTAACTGCAGTATCAACAAAACTCTATAAGCCATATCATATTCTGTCAAAGACTAACCAACCAAAAGAGCAGAGATTGAGAACTCAAAGACTTACGTGTATCAGCGTCGGAAGCAGCTGCGGAGAAAACCACAACTAAGCTTGTAATTGACTCTATTAAACCTCCATATACTATGCTTTTTACGATCTCCATTGATTGGAATTTTTCACTTTAACTACAAGAAATAGATTTTGTGTCACGCTGGAATTCACTGGTTTGAAGGAAGATGTATAAAATATTTGCAACTTTGATCAAACGTATCAAAGGAACAACCCGTGATTGTACTGGTTACTGTGTGCATCTAGATTTCAGTCAACCGAAAGAAAAGAAACAACAAAATGAAGAAACTATTGTACAAATTAACACCACCTGGCTTAGTCACTTTGCCTTTATCTGTGAATGATTTGATATGCTCCCTTCGCTTCCCAAATAACCAATGAAGATCAAAGCATCCTTCTGTTCAGTTTTATAGTATCACATAAAGTCCAAAACTCCACGTCAAGGACTGAAGAACAAAGAAAATATCTACTCTCTTTAGAACCACTTCTTCCTTCAATGGTTCAGCAGTAACTAAATCAGTGGAGTATTAAACAACTTAACTAGTCACACGAGAAAGTGGATTGAGAACCTGGATTTGTGAATGGCTTTCCCCTTTCATTTGCAGAACCAGAAGGTTCAGAGTATTGAGCCTCTTTCCTGCATAAATCAAACAACCATCTGAAAAATGCATACAGGGACCAAGATTCTTTTTCCCTTTAAATCATATGTGGAAATTTGATGGATACAGTGGCGAAGCCAGAAAGTTTTATAGGGGTGTTTAGATTTGAAAGAAATAAACAAAATTCCGGACAAGAGTGTTCAATATATATTTTATATATCTAAAATCAATACATGGTCTAATTTTTCGTAACGACCAACCTTAGCAAAAGGTGGCTCGCCGTGATTGATTGGCCGTTCATCTAAATAGAGATTAATATATAGTCTATACTTTATCCTAAACTTGCACGAAAAATTCCTTTTACACACATTTTTATTGCAGGTACTTCAATTTGTGAAAAGTGGAATTATTACCCCTATCAGGCTTAGAGAACAACAAAGTCAAGCACGTGAAGAACGGTAAAAAAAAAAACTTGTATCTGAGACCCTATTTGAATGCCACGTGTCCGACAAATTGCCTGTCACCCGGTTTTTTGCACCAGATTGAAGAGAGATATGGTGTGGGGTTTACCCATGACGACAATTATGAATGTCATTAGGAACAAAGCCAAATGGGTTGTTGATACAGTCCCTTTTATATACCTTTTTAAAATTTTTTATACTATTGTTAATTGACAATTTATAGAATCAGAGCTTTGATCTTGCCTCAAACTTTGTAAAATGTTTTAATAATGTGGACCCAAAGAGATCTATTTTGCTGATCTCTTTCCACCGACTAGCTCTCTCCCCCAATCTTATACTCGAATTTCTGATGAACATTCAGTCATAGCAGCCACTTTATTCTTAATTTCAACCTTTAAAACTTAAATAAGCATTCTCGTAATCATTAATTATTTATATTATTGCTGTTTGCATTCTCATGTGACTGTTTTATTAGGATGTGTTATTGAGGTCTAGTGGCAAAGTGAAAAAAAAAAGATATCCGCGGATATTATTCACTAAAGAATGAGTTGGATAATGAACTTTTTGACTATGAGTCAAATATGAATAAGATCCATATTATTCACTTAAAAATAGATAACCAATGAGTTTAAAGTCACATTTGCAAAGATTCAAATTGGGATTCCTCAAGTTTTGAGAGAGTAGTAATTCTCCCAAGAGATCATATTCAAGAAGTCATAGATAATATGTACATCTATATTATCTGTAGGTGAACTCATTTTCTATCCATATTAAATATGGATCGGATCGGATAATTTATTTGTTCTTTGTATTTCTCATTTTCGACCTGCTCATATCCGACCAGAACCGCCCGTTTGCCACCGTTGTTAAGGGGTAAGCTTTTGAATATTTGAGGTTTTGAACAGTTGAAACCATTATCTGGATTATTGAACCGTATGAAAGATTTAGATGATGTAACGCCTGGAGCTGACTTCACAAGTGTTCCGGACTCTTAATTAGCATTCATCGATTTGGTTCTCATTTTCTTTTACACTGATTTTCCCGGAGAGTAAGTTATTTGTTGCTTCCTCTTTGGAGCAATCATTAAGCATTCAATGAGATAGTGGGAAGAAGAGAAAAGCAAAATTTCCTGCAGATTTTAGCTGAGGGATGCACGTGTACATATTATACAGAAAAATAACAAGTAAAAATTCTTGTTTTTGTAGGTTTGTAGTGTTCTATGTATTCTTCCTTTTGATACAAGTGGTATATAGCAGGTGGGAAAAGTCATTGAAAATAACTTTGTTATCGTGAAGCGCTTTGGACCTTTTAGAATGTTAGTCGTAGTGATGCATAAGAAAAGGACCACTTGGATCATTCTTAATCTCTATAGTAATGCATCTACTCAGAAGCAAACTTACAAGGAGGAACCATGCAAATCTTTGATACTTTTGCCGGCCTTCAATATTTTAAATACTTCTTCTCCTTCTGTTGCCAATTTTCATTAGATCATCTGTTTTTTGTTATGATTGAGTCTGCACTATATTGACCACGTCTTTGCAGAATCAGCCAACTGGCCTGTTTAGCATTAGCTAGACCCTATTCATACTTTGTTAGCAAAATGCCAATTACCAATCATTTCATCATTACATACTGAAGAGGTCTAAGCTAAAAGAGATTTCAGCTTTTTTAGTCCCTTCCACCTGAAATGATTCCAGTTACAAAATGGGTAATCTTGAGCATATTCTTTCACATGTTATTAGTACTGTCAAATTCAGAAACTTTCGAAGTGAGACAAGCACTGGTCAAGTTCATGAACGAGATTTCTCTTGGAAATATCTCAAAAGATGTAAACTTTGGATGGAATTTATCATCTGATCCCTGTACAAACAATTGGGAGGGCATAGCTTGTGATACAGGAAATCAACATGTAAAACACATCGTTCTTGATCAGAAGAATCTCACTGGAATTCTTGATGCTGCTTCTGTCTGTGAGGCTACTTCCCTTGCTGTACTAAGCTTGAATGAGAACAAAATTATTGGACTTTTACCACAAGAAATATCCAACTGCAGGCGTCTCACACACTTGTATTTGCATGGAAATAAATTCTCAGGCAGTCTTCCAAGCTCTCTTTCGCGATTAAACAATTTGAAAAGGCTTGTTCTTTCAGACAATGCCTTCTCAGGGCAGCTACCTGATATGTCAAGAATCTCAGGGTTGCTAACTTTTTTGGCTGAAAGAAACCAGCTAACAGGGCAAATACCAAATTTCGATTTTTCCAATCTTGTAGATTTCAATGTCTCCTACAATAATTTAACTGGTCCAGTTCCTGATGTCAAGGACCATTTTGATTCCAACAGTTTTTTGGGTAATCCTGGATTATGTGGAGTGCCATTGTCAAACACATGTCCACCATCGCCATCGCCACCTCCTCCTCCAGTTTCTAAGAAGAAGAAAATCTCATTCCTTATCTATCTTGGCTATGCTATTCTTGGGTTGATTATCATATTTCTACTTGCATTAAAGCTTTTTAAGTGCATCAGGAAGAAAAAGAGCAAGAGTACTGCTCTAAAGGATCAGACCAAGAACAATAGCCCTGGTGAGTCAAAGGCTCCTGGAAACAGGTCAGAATATTCAATAACATCTCCAGAAAACTCAATGTTCTCAGCATCTTTTGAAATCCTTTCAAGTCCTATGGCTAACAAATTGAGATTCGAGGATTTGCTTCGAGCTCCTGCTGAACTGATTGGTAAAGGAAGACATGGAAGTGTTTACAAGGTCAAAGCTGATGGAGGAGTAACATTGGTAGTAAAGAGGATCAGAGGTTGGAATATTTCGAAAGATGATATCAAGAAGAGGATGCATGGAATACATAGAATGAAGCATCCTCATGTGTTGCCCCTTATTGCTTTCTACAGTTCCAAGCAAGAGAAGCTAATAGTTTACAAGTACCAACAGAATGGCAATCTCTTCAAGCATCTCCATTGTAAGTTTATCATTTGTAAACATAATTATTCTCCCTTCTAGTAAATCAATTTTCGCTTGGAGTCCAGGCCCTAGAAGAGTAATAGGCCACCCTACAAGACCTATGAAGAATTAAGGGAAGCCCGGTGCACTAAGCTCCAGCTATGCGTTGGGTCCGGGGAAGGCCGGACCACAAAGGTCTATTGTACGCATCCTTACCATGTATTTCTGCAAGAGGCTGTTTCCACGGCTTGAACCCGTGACCTCTTGGTCACATGACAGTAACTTTACCGGTTACGCCAAGACCTATGAAGAATTGATTACACTAAAGGAAAATATAAAAGAACTATAGGCCACTTTCCAGATTCAGGGTCCATCCAAGTCAAAATCTCAGGTGCTCTTTGGTTGATGAAGTAGGATAGAACTAATTATTTGTTTGGCTAGCATATGGACATGCTTTCATTGGAATTTAACTTCCTGAACCTAGTTCCCGAAATAATGTCAGCATATCAGAGTTTTTCTTCTATTAAAAATAATTGATTTTTTGGTAATAATAGCATTTTATTTACCAAATCAAAACAGTACAGCTCAACGGAAGAAAAGAAATCTGAACCATGGACATAAGCCCCATCATAAGTAGCACCTCAACTAACTATATCAGCAGTTAACTCCCCTATACAAAAACTAGACTCTCAGCAGTCAGCTCTCCTTCAAGTCCCACAGCTCTAAATGTGTCTATTCCTTCGACAACACAATTCATCTCTTTCCAGAGAGAGCAAAGACACACCCAGTCAGCGCCATTCTGTATAGTTCAGCTCTTGCATTCCTACTCTGGCATGTGTTACTGCCCATTTGATCTCATTCTGCCATGTCATTAACTGTATACTGTTGCGGAAGCCAAATGTATATAGTGTGAATAAGTCACAACTGCTATACCAAAAATTATG